CTATGATTTTGTAATCATTAAAGGGGCTACTTACAATTGCTTATTATATTTCATGATTTTGTCTCACTTTCATAATTTGTATCACTTTTAATAAAATATTTCTGAACGGACCAAAGCGTGCCTGTTTGTTCCTTCGAGAGCCATATATCCCCCTCTCGCATTAAAACATCGAGCAAATATTATAAAGCTATTAGTTAAAAGTAACACCCCCCCCCCCCCAAAAAAAAAAAAAAAACGGAAACCACTTTACTTGAATAACGAGAGGCTAGCTCATTAGTTCAATGAGGCCAAGCCTTTAAAGTATTAATGTGATGTTTTGTGGTGTGAATTTAAAGAGGGCCATACAGGAAACCCCTTCAACATCACAGAGTTAAAGTTATCCTGCATGGAGAAATGGGCAACATATTGTACATGTCAATGTAAAAAGCTGATAGTTATAAGTAAGACATTGTATCTGCCAAAGGGGGCAATACCAGCCACTAAATGTGAGCTTTATTGTCACTTAGACTTTAGCCGCTTTTTTTTCTAAAATGAACTGTATGATATTGTCTGGGTCAGCATCCATCTGACCCTGCCTTTCATGTCTCCTCCCCGCTTGGCCAGCAGGTGTTACTTGCCATCCTGACTTCCTCCATGTCACTTGGCCCCTGTGTGCTTTTCCTTGGCCCCCAGACCGCTGCATGGCTCAGTGGGCTGAGTATGTTGCTCAGATTGAGGCTCAGAGCTGGCAAAGAACAAGTTGTCATGTGCTTTTTTTCTGTCTTTTGCTCCTTGTCCCCATTTACTCAGTTTTCTTTGCTTTAGTTAACACTTAGTGTTTCTGTTTTCCCTCGTCTCCAGTGCTGTTTAATTGTACACCTGTTCCTTGTTTGCCCTGAGTCCTTGTGAATAATTGGTTAAGACTCTCACCTGCCCTGCATTGTGTCTTGGTTGCTGTGTATTTAAGTGCCTGTTGTGTTTCTTTGATGGTTCATTGTAGTTACACGTCTGTGTGCAGAGTGGTTGTTATGGTCTGCTGCCTTGTCCTGTTCCCTGTGTTTATCCCAGGCTTTAGTTTATTCCTAGTTTTTGAGGTAAAGACACAACCTCAAGTGACAGCCAAAGATTTGAAGGCGTCATTGGAACTGGCCGACATCTGTGTTCATGAGTCTACAGTATGTAAAACATTGAAAGAGAATGGTATCTATGGCAGAACACCACAAAGGAAGCCACTGCTTACACAAGAACATGCCTGAAGTTTGCGAAAGAGCATATTGACACTCCACGGTGGTATGGACAAAATGTTTTGAAACTAAGATTGAACTATTTGGAAATAACACGCAGCACTATATCTGGCATAAGATGGGCACTGCATATCATCATGAAAACATCATCCCTTACGTAAAGTATGGTGGAGGAAACATCATGATTTAGGCCGGCTTTGCTGCATCAGGGCCTGGACAGCTTGCAATAATTGAAGGGGAGATGAATTCTCAAGTGTATCAAAAAATTCTTCAGGATAATGTGAGAATGTCTGTACGTCAGCTGAAACTCTGTAGAAGTTGAGTGATGCAACAGGATAATGACCCAAAACACCGGAGCAAGTCCACAACAGAATGGCATCAGAAAATCAAAACCCACCTTTTGTAGTGGCCAAGTCAGATCCCAGACCTCAACCCAATAGAGAAGCTATGGAATGACTTGAAGAGAGCCATACACATGAGACGTCTGAAGAACATCTCAGAGCTAAAGCGGTTCTGCCAGGAAGAATGGGCCAGAATTCATCCTGAACTATGTGCAAGTCTGATCCACAGCTTCAGGAAGCGCCTGGTTGAGGTTATTGCTGCCAAGGGGGGGTCAACCAGCTAATTATTCCAAGGGTTTCCACTAACACTATGAGTTTTTAATGGTAATGTAGCGTCTGAGGTTAAGGCGACTTGTACCACTCTTTAAATTAACGAATACTGCCGGAACTCTGGTAGCTCCGTCTCAGTGGCTCACCACACAACCTTTTATTTAATCAACTTTTTTTTCTGAAGAACACGTCCATAACACGTGGCTGCTGCCTTTTTGTTACAAAACTGCTTCCTCCCCCTCGAGGCAGCTACCATCCACACTAGCTCCTACCTGTCACAGTCCCCCCCCCTTCCTAAAAGGAACGTCACCGTTCCCACAATCACACCCGGGAGCAAAAGAAAAAAAAAGGGAGGGGGCATGTTACCAAACCACCACATGCCAAACACTAAAAAAAAATAAAACAGTCACAAAGGACGACCTTTCATGGTAGTCCTCAATAAAGATATGAAAGATCAGAATTTTTGTGTGTTGTTATTATTGTCATGCCCTGCTCGTCCAATCCTCCTGTGTGCCACGCCCCCTCATTTACCTCGATTGTTATCAGCTGTTTCATGTTATTTCTGAGTAGTCCTGTGTATTTAAGTCCGCGTTCAAGTCTGTTTCCCCAGTACTGGTCATTAACGTTACGTGTGTTTTGGAATGTGTTACCCTGCAAATAAATCCCTTTTATTTGTAACTACGGCTCCCTTCGCCAGCTTTCATGTACCCGACGTGACAATTATACCCACATTATTTTTGTCAATACTTTTCAATTAGATGAAGATCAGATCACATTTTATGACAAATTAATGCTGAAAATCATGAAATTCCACTGTAAGTTACTACTGCTAATATAACACCCATATTCAAAAAAGGGGATAGAAGTAATCCAGCAAACTATAGGCCAATCAGTTTAACTAGCATTACTGGAAAAATAATGGAAGCTATAATCCAAGTGAAAATGGTAGATTACCTGGATGCAAATTACATTCTTAGGGATAGCCAACATGGATTTAGGAGAGATAGATCCTGTTTAACGCATCTACTTGAGTTCTTTGAGGAAGCGAAAGAACACTGGTCACGAAA